GTTTTATAATTTTGTAAACTTGAAGCGTAAGTCTTCAACTTTGCCATCTTCTTTTTTTCTTGGGGTGGATAAAGCTAGCAATGACACTGATTCTGCTAACCTCTTTGCTAATTTTTTCCAATCAACTTACTCTTCAGTCTGTCCTAATACTAATTCTTACCCTTATACTATTTCCTCCGCTAGTTCTATACCTCCCCCCATTATTTCACACTCCTCTCTCCTATTAGCTATAAACTCTCTAAAATCTTCTTACTCTCCTGGGCCGGACAATATTCCTAGTTGTCTACTCAAGGAGTGCAGTTCTTCCCTTTTCTATCCATTGCTAAAGCTTTTTAATCTATCCCTTGAAACTTCTGTCTTTCCATCTCTTTGGAAAGAATCTTATATCATTCCTCTTCACAAGAAAGGTGGGAAGTCTGATATACAAAATTACAGGGGCATTGCAAAACTGTCTGCTATTCCTAAATTATTTGAAAAAATAATCACTTCGAATTTGCAGCATTTCTGCAAATCAGTTGTTTCCCCTGTTCAACATGGATTCGTAAAGAATCGGTCAACTACGACCAATCTGCTTGAGTTTACTTCCTTGGTAAATGATGCTTTCCTTTCGAAAATGCAAACTGATGTCATTTACACTGACTTCAGCAAGGCGTTTGACTCTGTGCACCATGACATTTTACTTTTTAAACTTGACCGAATAGGTTTCCCTCTGTCCCTTTTACTTTGGATTAATTCTTATTTAAAAGGTAGGACCCAAAGAGTAATACTGAGGTTGACTACCTCTAAAAGGGTTCACGTTACTTCTGGTGTTCCTCAAGGTAGTCATCTTGGACCTTTACTCTTTACACTTTTTATAAATGATCTTCCTTCTGTTATATCACATGCCCGTGTACTCATGTATGCGGACGATGTCAAACTTTTTCTATCATACACTAACCCCCTACATCATTCTCGTCTACAAGACGATTTGAACGCTATGCAACTTTGGTGTTCGGCCAATCAATTGCATCTAAATTGTTCAAAGTGTATGTTTATGACTTTTAATCGTACTACACCTTATCTTGTTAGTTATACAATCGACAATATCCCTTTGCAACGTATACTAACAGTTAAGGATCTAGGCGTTATTTTTGATTCTAAACTCTGTTTCAATCTTCATATAGATACCATTGTTAATGAGGCAAAAGGTGTACTTGGATTCATTAAACGATGGTCTAAAGAGTTTAACGATCCTTTTATAACAAAACTTCTGTACATCTCTCTTGTTCGCCCTATCCTTGAATACTGCTCTTGCATCTGGTCTCCACATTATATCAACAGCCAGGATCGTATTGAATCTGTTCAGAAGCAATTTCTGCTTTTTGCCTTACGAGGTTTAAATTGGGACCCTAATCTTCGGTTGCCGTCCTACTCCAGCAGACTGCTTCTTCTCAACCTTCCGTCGTTAATCAACCGTAGGACAATTCTCGGTGTTGTCCTTCTACATAAGTTGATTATTGGCGACATTGATTCTCCTTTTCTGCTAGGGCGTCTTCAATTCTCTGTTCCGGCTAGACCAACCAGAAATTATCGCCCCTTATTACTATCTACGTGCACAACTGATTACGCTATGCACAATTCTTTTCGCGTGCTATGTAAAAATTATAATAGTTTGCATCACGTTTTCTCTACCGAACTGTCTCTACCCCTAATAAAATCGTTGCTTTCAGGATACCTTCGGGAAGTCGCTGACCATTCCCAGCTATGAGCAGGGGCATAGCTAGCCGGACAGGCTGAAAAATTTTCCCCCACCGTGTCGGTGATTTCCCAATACTTTTCTCTTTGTCCTATCCACTTAACACTCTTTATCTAACTTACATTGCTTTACTTTATTAACAATTTTCTTACTTTCTTTTTTCCTATTTATTGTATTTTCTTTATTAATTTAGCAAATTAAGATTATTTTTAATTTCACTTGAGATCACTTTTTTCCTACTTACAACCTTCTGCTTAGATGTAGGCTCTAATAGCGTCACTGACAAAATTAGCTGTGAAAAGGGGCACAGCTGGCCGGACTGGCAAATAAAACACCTCCATCGGTCGGTGATGCTATTTAGAAAACTGTATCCTTTAACTAGGCTTTTAGAATATACTTATATTGTACAACCTGTTGAATAATGAGGAAGACACTCGTTTTGTCGACCATTAATAAATAAATAAATATAAATAAATATGTCTTACAGACGCTTATAAGACGCCTTTGATCTAAAGATGTATGTATATATATATCACCTGATACCCCGAATTTCATTTACTCGAGAATTTAGAGAATAAATGACAGGAAAAGTTTTATTTTAGATAGAATTTGAGATATACAAAACAAAGAAAAAAAAAATGGTGTACATATACCTAAGTAATCCAAACTTTCCTTTGAGTTTCAAAGCAAATTTGAGCTTATATTCTCGTATTAGCTGGATATGTCTGAAAGAATATTTAATCTTCAACGTGTTGCTATTTCTTGCTTCGCTTGTTCAATGCATTGAAGAAGACATATTCGTCCTAAATTCGTCTATTTCAAAGGTTGAACCATATTAGCATAAGCGTTGGTTAACTGTGGTCTACTTCAGAGTCCAACTATTCTCACAAGCCAGATGATGAGCTTACTCTTCAGCTGTAGCTATAAGCTAGGAATATTTATGCTTGAAGCTAAAATCAAATTGTTAACGAGAAACGGCGGATTTAAAAAATTTAACTGACACACATATAAAACGTGATCCACAATAGAAACTAATTGCAGGCCAAGCAAATTGCTTACAACATGTTCTACTCTATATGGTTGCCTGGCATAAAAGCCTGGGATGTTTTTCAGCTGGTACAGCCCGGTCATATTGTACTCGCTCTCTCTCTCTCTCTCTCTCTCTCTCTCTCTCTCTCTCTCTCTGTGTGTGTGTGTGTGTGTGTGTATGTATGGCATGCAGCGAGGCACATTAATTAAATAAAAATTGATTTTTCAAGCGCATGAAATCCAATCAACGACCAGCTCCAAGTAGGGACAACAACGAGTGGCTCGCACATAAAGCTATGTCCTGGATCAGCGCATCAGCCTTGTAGCACCACCGCATCGCACCACCAACAACTCCCCATAGCCTGCCCACTGTCGGTGCTGCTGCTGCTGGTTGTCAAATGAAGTTAACAAAGTTTACGATTTTTTATATATTTTGCGTTCGCTCGACTTTCAATTTTTTTTTTATTTATTTGGTTTTTTTTTTATTTTCAATATTTTTTGTTGTTGATTTTTTCTTTTTATCGTTTGCATAAGTATATAATATGAGCATGGGACAGCTATTGTGGCGCTGGATATGCCATGCTTTATTTCTGGTGCATGGTGCCGCATGCCGCATGCCACATGCCACATGCGTTTTGTATCGCCTTCAACCATTGGCCACAGTTTAATGTGCACTGTCGCCCTTTTTGTGCGGGCGGTATTTAAACCACAGCAAGTCATCAGGCAAATTGAATTTTCAACGTATGCTCGCACACAAACACACACACAGACGGGCACGCCCACAATTACAATGCCTGGCTTAAAGCTCTACTTGTTTTATATAGCTCTTATAGCAACTACTATGCCCCAGCCCAACCGACTGTCCCTCTGGTGCCTGGTCAACGCCATTTGCCGTTTCGCTTCTTTCGTTTCTCGTTACAAAATTACCCACGATAAAAATTGAATTACTTCGTCGGCGTTGGAGCTGGAGCTGAAGCTGGCATCGCATTCTAGTCTTGCGTTTGCCTCCTGGACATGGCGAGATCTGGGTCTGGGTCCTGTCCTGGTCCTGGATAGCAGCGTTGTCGGTGCAAAGTGTTATGCTTACTCTTGACGCGCCCACAGCCACGCCCACGTCTCAGCTAGACTACTTAGGCGACGTTGAAACTGTCGCCGAGCCTGGTCCTGCAGCCTGCACCCTGGACCCTGCACCCTGCCTGTAAGCGCCACCCTCCTTACGCCTCCTGCTAGCATTGTGTGTGTGTGTGTGTGTGTATGTATGTGTGTATGTGTGTGTATGACTTCATCTAATGATAAATGAGCTGCAATGGATGACAGCGAATCAACTTAAGTGTATTGCTCTGCTTCGGTGACACTCTCCCTCTAGCCCAGCCTGCATAGTGTTTCATAGCCCTCTTCACTCCATGTCCTGCTGCCGGTCTGTGCTTTTTCCAGCACCCTGTCATCCAATGCACTTTCCCTTAACGCTTTTTGCTTGTGTTTACGTTTCACTTCAAATTTCTATGCTACACTAAATATTTACATAGGAAAAACTTTGCGCGTGTAAGTGAAACGCTTTAAAAATGCTCGGGGGGAAAACTTATGCGAATGTTTCGCCACTCATTAACTTATCGAAACTTATTTTATAGCAGGGCTAATTAGAGAGATTGGTATTTAATGATTCCAGCTGCGACCAGTTCATAACGAGTGAAAGGGAGATGCTGTGATACAGAGAGAGAGAGACAGAAAGAGGGAGAGAGAGATAAGAGAGTGATAGTGATTCTGCCTGGAAAGGCTCATATTATTTGAAAATCTATTTAAGTGCATTGCTATTCCAATAGTGTGACAGTCTGGCAACGCCGCTTGTGTGTGGCCATATTTGCAATGCAATGTGGCAACACTAAACATCTAACATTATGTTAAATGAACAACATGTCCGTCTTAAAATTTAGCCAGCAATCATTTAACGGCACAAAATAGAGTTTGATAACAGTTTGATTTGTGACTGTAAGTTTTGGCTGGGAATAAACCATAGACTTTATTTTGGTTGGTGGTTGCTCATGCATAACGTTGACTCAAAATATTCAGTCTCCATAAGCTCACATAAAAGTCATATATCATCATCATTATTTCCAAAGAGCAATTTACAGCGGACTTTATTATTAAATGCGTATATAAATTATATTTTATTTGACAAACTAATTGTTAAAATAAATAAACAAAAAAAAAAAAAAAAATTTAAGTACATTATTGTAAATATATCGTTGCTAATATCATTGAATTTATTGTGAGATTATATAGTGTGAATGCTACAGTTTTCGTTTCCGTCTATTTGGTTTGGCATTGTGTATAAGTCGTCTCTACTTGTGCAGACACGTGGCGTCATCCTTGGACACGCACTTCAGAGTGCGGTAGTCGAAACGCTCCTTGTTATCGCAGCGTAGATGCACGAACCTATGCTTGCCAGACTTCTTGATTTCGCACCGGTAATATTTTCGGCAATCGCGCACATCTGGATAGATGTCGTCCTCATCGCATTCCTCTTCATCCTTAAGCTTCTTGATAACGTTCTTTACAAATTGCTTTTTCTCTTTGGAATTCAGATCGTCGTTATCATCATCTTCATTGGATTTTTTCTGTTCACTGTCTTTCTCCTCATTGGAATCCTTTGATTTTTTGTTGTCCTTTTTGTCATTCTTTTCCTCGGTAGAGCTATTGGATTTTTTCTTATCGTTGTCCTTTTCCTCCTTTGAATCTTTTGACTTGCTGTTGTCCTTCTTCTTATCCTCTTTCGATTCCTTCGGCTTGGTGTTCTTATCCTTCTTCTCGTCAGAGCTGTTCTCATTAGAGGCAGGCTTCTTATGCTCTTGCTCCTTGGACTGGTCCTCAGCAGGCTTTGGCTTTTTTTTGTCCTTGTTGCTCTCCTCAACTGAGGCATTCTCATTGGAGATGGGTCCACCTGATGGTTGTTCTACAGACTCATTTGTTTCCGACTTGTTGCTGTCTTCAGTCGGGGCTGGTGTGGGAGCAGTGGTGGGCTGGGCGGGTTTTTTAGATGGCCGCCAGCTATTGACCCAGTCATGCCAATTCGGCCAGAAGGGCTTTACAGTCGGTATATTCTGGCCATTACCATTGTTATTGCCATTTCCGTTACCTGGTTGCTGGGGACGTTGCGGCCAGAAAGGATGTTGGGGGATTGGTCGAATGGGAGGTCTTGGGTGTCCTGGGTGCGCAGGGTGAATGGGTTGACTTGGGCGCCATGGATGTGGCCATGAGCCCGGACGACCTGGGTACTCAGGAACTGAAGGGATAGAGGGAACAGATGGGTTGATGGGTATATTGGGATCAACTGGGGAGTTGGGGTTTACTGGGGAGCTAGGATCAAGTGGTGTATTGGGATCAACTGGTTTATTGGGATTCACTGGCGCGTTTGGATCGACCGGTGCGTTGGGGTCAACTGGAGCGTTAGGGTCCACTGGTGTGTTGGGGTTCACTGGTGCGTTGGGATTAACCGGTGTATTGGGGTTGACCGGCGCGTTGGGATCGACCGGTGCATTAGGGTCCACTGGCGCATTGGGATCAACTGGTGCATTGGGATCTACCGGTGCAATCGGATCGACTGGTGCGTTGGGTTCGACTGGTGCATTAGGGTCCACAGGTACATTTGGATCTACCGGTGCATTAGGGTCTACTGGTGCATTGGGATTAACTGGTGCATTGGGATCCACCGGTGTATTAGGGTCCACTGGTGCATTGGGATCAACTGGTGCATTGGGGTCGACTGGTGCATTAGGATCCACTGGAGCATTGGGATCGACTGGTGCATTAGGATCTACAGGTGCGTTTGGATCCACTGGGGCATTGGGGTCCACTGGAGCGTTGGGGTCGACTGGAGCATTAGGATCTACAGGTGCATTTGGATCAACTGGTGTGTTTGGATCAACTGGAGCGCTGGGATCGACTGGTGCATTTGGATTCACTGGGGCATTGGGGTCCACTGGAGCGTTTGGATCGACTGGTGCATTAGGGTCTACAGGTGCGTTTGGATCAACTGGTGTGTTAGGATCGACTGGTGCGTTGGGGTCGACTGGAGCATTGGGATCGACTGGAGCATTTGGATCCACTGGGGCATTGGGGTCCACTGGAGCGTTGGGGTTGACTGGAGCATTAGGATCAACTGGTCCGTTGGGATCGACTGGTGCATTAGGGTCTAAAGGTGCGTTTGGATCAACAGGAGCGTTGGGGTCGACTGGAGCATTGGGGTCCACAGGCTCAATGGGATCAACCGGTGCATTGGGGTTTACTGGCGCATTAGGGTCCACTGGAGCATTGGGACCGACTGGTTCATTAGGATCTACAGGTGTGCTTGGATCAACTGGTGCGCTGGGATCGACTGGCGCATTTGGATCCACTGGAGCATTGGGTTCCACTGGAGCGTTGGGGTCGACTGGAGCATTAGGATCGACTGGTGAATTTGGATTCACTGGGGCATTGGGGTCCACTGGAGCGTTTGGATCGACTGGTGCATTAGGGTCTACAGGTGCGTTTGGATCAACTGGTGTGTTAGGATCGACTGGTGCGTTTGGGTCGACTGGAGCATTGGGGTCGACTGGAGCATTGGGATCGACTGGAGCATTGGGATCAACTGGTGCGTTTGGATCAACTGGTGCATTAGGGTCTACAGGTGCGTTTGGATCAACTGGTGTATTGGGATCGACTGGTGCATTGGGATCGACTGGTGCATTAGGATCTACAGGTGCGTTTGGATCAACTGGTGCGCTAGGATCGATTGGTGCATTTGGATCCCCTGGGGCATTGGGGTCCACTGGAGCGTTGGGGTCGACTGGAGCATTGGGGTCGACTGGTGCATTGGGATCTACTGGTGCATTAGGATCTACAGGTGCGTTTGGATCAACTGGTGCGCTAGGATCGATTGGTGCATTTGGATCAACTGGTGCGTTTGGATCAACTGGTGCGCTGGGATCGACTGGTGCATTTGGATTCACTGGGGCATTGGGGTCCACTGGAGCGTTTGGATCGACCGGTGCATTAGGGTCTACAGGTGCGTTTGGATCAACTGGTGTGTTAGGATCGACTGGTGCGTTGGGGTCGACTGGAGCATTGGGATCGACTGGAGCATTGGGATCAACTGGTGCGTTTGGATCAACTGGTGCGTTTGGATCAACTGGTGCATTAGGGTCTACAGGTGCGTTTGGATCAACTGGTGTATTGGGATCGACTGGTGCATTGGGATCGACTGGTGCATTAGGATCTACAGGTGCGTTTGGATCAACTGGTGCGCTAGGATCCACTGGGGCATTGGGGTCCACTGGTGCGTTGGGGTCCACTGGAGCATTGGGGTCGACTGGTGCATTGGGATCGACTGGTGCATTAGGATCTACAGGTGCGTTTGGATCAACTGGTGTGTTAGGATCGACTGGTGCGTTGGGGTCGACTGGAGCATTGGGATCGACTGGAGCATTGGGATCAACTGGTGCGTTTGGATCAACTGGTGCGTTTGGATCAACTGGTGCATTAGGGTCTACAGGTGCGTTTGGATCAACTGGTGTATTGGGATCGACTGGTGCATTGGGATCGACTGGTGCATTAGGATCTACAGGTGCGTTTGGATCAACTGGTGCGCTAGGATCCACTGGGGCATTGGGGTCCACTGGAGCGTTGGGGTCCACTGGAGCATTGGGGTCGACTGGTGCATTGGGATCGACTGGTGCATTAGGATCTACAGGTGCGTTTGGATCAACTGGTGCGCTAGGATCGATTGGTGCATTTGGATCCACTGGGGCATTGGGGTCCACTGGAGCGTTGGGGTCGACTGGAGCATTGGGGTCGACTGGTGCATTAGGGTCCACTGGAGCATTGGGGTCGACTGGTGCATTAGGATCTACTGGGGCGTTGGGATCGACTGGAGCGCTGGGATCAACTGGGGCGTTGGGATCAACTGGTGCGTTGGGATCCAATGGTGCATTGGGGTCTACAGGTGCATTTGGATCGACTGGAGCGTTAGGATCCACTGGTGCAGTGGGATCGACGGGTGCATTCGGGTCGATGGGAGCGTTGGGATCGACTGGAGCAATTGGGTCCACTGGAGCGTTCGGGTCGACCGGAGCGTTGGGGTCCACTGGGGATACAGTAGGTCCCTCTGGATTCACAGGGGCATTAGGATCGACTGGTGCGTTGGGATCCACTGGTGCATTAGGGTCGACAGGTGTATTTGGATCGACTGGAGCGTTGGGATCCACTGGTGCATTGGGCTCGGCGGGTGCAATCGGGTCGACTGGTGCGTTGGGATCGACTGGAGCGTTAGGGTCCACTGGGGATACAGTAGTTTCTTCTGGATTCACAGGGGCGTTGGGATCAACTGGTGCGTTGGGATCTACTGGAACATTAGGATCGACTGGTGCGTTGGGATCCTCTGGTGCATTAGGGTCGACTGGAGCGTTGGGATCCACTGGTACGTTCGGATCAACAGGTGCGTTGGGATCGACTGGTGTAGTTGGGTCCACTGGAGCGTTGGGATCGACTGGAGCGTTAGGGTCCACTGGCGAGACAGTAGTTCCCTCTGGATTCACAGGGGCGTTGGGATCAACTGGTGCGTTGGGATCTGCTGGTACACTAGGATCTACTGGTGCTTCGGGATCCACTGGTACATTTGGGTCGACAGGTGCATTTGGATCGACTGGGGCGTTCGGATCCAATGGTGCATTGGGATCGACAGGTGCATTCGGGTCGACTGGAGCGTTGGGATCCACTGGTTCGTTTGGATCAACAGGTGCGTTGGGATCGACTGGTGAACCGGGATCTAACGGAGCGTTAGGATCGACTGGAGCATTGGGGTCGACTGGGGATACAGTTGTTTCAGCTGGGCTCTCAGGGGCATTGGGATCAACAGGTGCATTGGGGTCAACAGGTGCGTTCGGATTGACTGGAGCATTGGGGTCGACAGGAGCGGTTGGGTCCACTGGAGGAGTGGGGTCCACTGGGCTTACAGTTGTTCCTTCTGGATTTTCGGGGCTGTTGGGATTAACTGGTGCGTTGGGATCTACTGGAACATTAGGTTCGACTGGAGCGTTGGGATCCACAGGTGCATTGGGGTCGACAGGTGCATTCGGGTCGACTGGAGCGTTGGGGTCCACTGGTACGTTAGGATCAAGAGGTGCGTTAGGATCAACTGGTGAACCGGGATCTAACGGAGCGTTAGGATCGACTGGAGCATTAGGGTCGACTGGGGATACAGTTGTTTCAGATGGATTCTCAGGGGCGTTGGGGTCAACAGGTGCATTAGGATCCACTGGTGCATTGGGGTCAACAGGTACATTCGGGTCGACTGGAGAGTTGGGATCGACTGGTGCATTGGGATCAACAGGTGCGTTGGGATCGATTGGTGCATTTGGGTCCACTGGTGCATTGGGGTTAACTGGATCATTCGGATCGACTGAGGATACAGTTGTTCCCTCTGGGTTCTCAGGTGCGTTCGGATCCAAAGGAGCGGTAGGTTCAGTTGGGGCAGTCGGGTCAACTGAAGATATTGTCGTTCCCTCTGGATCAACAGGAATATTGGGATTGACGGGTTCAGTTGGATTTATCGAGGGTGACGTCGTTCCCTCTGGGCTAACTGGTGCATTTGGGTCCACGGGTACGTTAGGATCTACTGGTGTATTGGGATCAACAGTGGGGTCGACAGGGGATGATGTAGAGCCTCCTGGCGTTGGCTCTGTTGGACGTGTTGGCGCATTAGTTTCCCAATTGGGACCGACGGTTGTAATTGGATCCAATGCGGCGTCAGTTGTAGTGTCCACCGGCAGTGTTGAATCGGGCTCTGTGGGTGCATGAGTTGTTGTGTCAACTATCGGCTCTGCAGTTGTCTGCAGGGTGGTATCTGTAGTTGCCTCCTCTGGTAAATTGGTCGTCTCAATGACAACAGTGGTTGTGACAATGGGTAGCTCTGTTGAATTGGCAGGAATTAGACCCTCAGTGCTGTTGGTAAGCACATTGCTGGCAGAGCTGGTGGTAGACTCGATAAGTGCCGCCGAGCCACTGCCACCAATTATTGGATGGTCGGTGACTGTTGTCATCTTGGCCACTGCCGCTGAAGACGCCTCTCCATCTGATTTAAGGGGCACACAAATCTCCAGCCCATCGTTAATACAGAGCGTATTGACTGGACAGGAGAGAACTTTGCCGGTAGCCACATCTCCCACGCAAGCCTGATAGGTGGCTGGTCCCACGCAGATGGCCGGTTGGCCGCTGCAGTTGATGTTTATGATTTGCGCACTGGTCTGTACGGCCTGTTGTCGGCTGCCGAGCAGTGCGGCTAACTATAGAAGACACGTGGATAGAAAAAGAGGGAGAGAGAGTAAAGAATTTAGTATGATTAAGCTATTGGTCGCACTGGTGCACTGTTTGTCACAAGTCGGAGTCTCGGGACCGTAACAATTACACTGGTTTAGTTTCACTTGCATAAGATACTTTCGAGTCGCCGCCGAGTGCTATATACGATATCCAAAGTAGCAAGATTCCCGGCAGCTTTTGTTAGTTTGTTTGGTTTTAGTCACGCGTATCCAAAATCCCGTAAAGTTGCCACACAAAATGGTTAATAAAATACATCTCATCAGTAACAGAAACAAAAAATATTAATTATTATTTCAAATTTTGATTTGAGGTTCTGGCATGACGATGTGGGGAACGGGATAATCGGGTTTTGGGTTCTGTGGCGCGTTAGTAGAGTTTATGCAATTACCACAAATAACATCAAAAACTTGAATATTTTGTTCGTCATCGTCGTTGTGTAATGTATTTGGTTCGAATGAAAAATCGTTACTATCCTCTGTATGAGCAGTCGAGTCGCTTATATTCGAAAACTTCCCATCCACTTTTATCTCTAGCGAATCTGTTTGACGCTATGTAAATAGCCAATGATTATCTTTGTTTGTCCCAGATAAGTTTGCGACCAATTTATGATATTGCAGCTAAAATCTGAAGCGGCCCAAAGCCGTTTGCGGCTGTGAGCTATTTTTTTCCGACTACACTTGGTAAATCTATTTATTTTTTTACCAGATACATTTTCAGTTTCGTCTGTTGTTTTCCTCAGCTGACGCAATAGAATAAAAAACAAATTCGTTGTATGGATAAACACATTGGAATGTTTTTCGTTGTTTTATGTGATAAATAATAATCACACTCGGTAGATATCAAACACTAAGCCCCGACATTCTACAGAAAACTATTTTTAATAGGGCTTTATTTATTTGTTGTTTATTTTTTTTTTTTTTTGAATTACTTTTTACTGTACATCTTAAAATGTTTATTTAAAAATTAAGCATTGATTAAATAATTATTAATATATAAAAAATATTACATTTTCAAAAAAATGCAATATTTGTGTTTTATAAATACAGCACCTGCTCAATAAAATATTCAGGAGCAGCCAACTACTTGGCCATGTCTGTATTGGTGTCGATTAATCGAAAAATTTCATGAATCAATGGGAATTAACTTAGCTCAGTTTAAAAAGCTGTGACGAAGACCTTGTCACTTTGATATGGACATGAATTTCTCAGTAACTAAAATAATTTTTATATGTAGGTTTTAATGCTTTATTCTTAATGGGCTATGCGATATGAGTTTGTGCTCGTGCAAATAATAATAATTAAATAATCTAAGCTAATAAACGTTATTATCTTGTTAGAGCTTCCGATGGTCATTAAGTTAAGCCAATGATGATATTTCACACATTTGTTTAACTGCCGTACGTAATCTTAATCTAAGCAAGTAGACCCTAGAGTTGAACTTGACAAACAAAAAACAAGAAATATATAAGAGAAGGCTGCGCATTTCCTGTGACAAATTTGCGCTATTTGCCAAATTTTAAGAAGAATAATAAATAGACGGTACCATTTCTTTTTTACGAACATAAATTACCCTAATTCAATTATTTTTGAATGGTATAAAACAACATAATAGTTAAGTGTAGTTAAGGCAAAGACATTCGACAGTTAAGCAAATGGGAGGCATTTAAAGCCATAGTTTATATAGAATTTAGATTTTATATATGATTAAAGACATTATGATTTGTATTATTATAGGCTTTAGCTTCAATGGTCGGATAGTTGTTTTTAATGCGCAACATATTTTTGTTGCTAACATAAAAATATTCACGCATAGAGTATTGTAGTTGAGGTGCGGTAGTGCTTAGTTATACAGTTCCATGGATAGACGGAGGTGTGCCTCAGAGTGGATTCCAACATAGAAAATGACTAAGACCTATTGGCTTATCTGGCGGGCACATGATGCACATCTCACACTGATGTAGCTTTGTGTCTGTGCGCCAGCTACTGTTTGCCAGCGGGTCTGCTAGCACCATTTTATGACGCAGGCAATCCCCTCGAGCAGGGTGCGTCCATCCAATTGAAGAGTTTTGTATCTCTTTTGCGTATGTTTTTGCAAGCATCATGATAAGGCCGAAGGTTGAGCGCATTTCGTATGCCAAACAGTAGTAACAACAGCAACAATGATCATGATCGTGAATTCGAGTGCGATAAGCTACAGCAACCGGTCCAAGATTACATGCGAGTGCTGTCCAAGTAATCCTTATCGCACAGATGCGAGATCTATCAAGATAAGCAAGCCGCTAGCGGCGTCAGGTTTGTGAATCCACGAGCCAACTCTGGACAGTCGCCGGCCCATCCGTAAATTGTCGTTCGTATTGTATAACACACATGCCCATGGTTTTAGGCATTATTTATGAGCAAAGGTCCAAAGACCTTTTCACCCAGGCCATACTGACTAATTGTGGGCATTGGCTTAACATCTGGCGATTCCCAAAAGCACTGTTACGTTACAATATGTGCCGGGGGCGAAGGAGTGTACATCAAACAAAAAATGAGGAGCAATTTGTAGGCTTTCGTTTATGTTTCGCATTGCGTATGCCCTTTGAAGCTGGCAATTGCATAAAATTGTTAAATTAAACGTCTTTTTTAATGCCAAATATCCAATGAAAAGTTCTTGAAGGGGTCTATTGGCACGCATGTATGGCATGCACCGACAACATGTGGTATACTTAATATATATTCCAAAGAAAGCGAATCTACACTTTTTGTGTACACAAGAGTTTTGACATAGGCTGATCCGATTAACGGTATAATTATATCGACAAAATCCGAATTATATTTGCCTTTTACTAAGATAAATATTATTTTCTTAAAAATATTAAAAGTTCTCAGGCAATCGCTCACGAATGCCACTGCACATACAGGGTATCCACGCAGCTCATCACTTTCACCTGGATTATGCGTGCTTTCTTTTTTGTCAGTTGCTTCATTTAATGCGGTTAAACCATGAAATAAAAACGCAAATGCAATGCAGGCACTGCGGTTTTTCATGTCTAGACAATACAATAAATACAGTTAGCCATATATTTGTATTATCATACGGTGTGCATACACATGCATACACATGCATAGACCCATGCTCTCTATACCCGATGCATATATTTTATAATTGGCGTCAATTTGCTGGCTTATCGCCTGGCGGTCTGTGTCACAAAGTGTGCAACATTATGCACAAATGAGACAACCGATTTTTTTTTATTTTCTTTTTTAAGTATATCCGTCAACTGATTCAATGTAAGACTCAGAGTCCATACTGCCAGCGGATGACCAGAAAAAAAAAAAAACAAAATATCACACATACGCAGTGTGCATATGTTTGCTACTTGAGCGTAATTATAAAAGAGGTCATATTATAAGAAAATACCTTCGTATATGGATGCGGTTGGGACCTTACAGTATCCAGCCTTACCTTACATCAGCTAATTGAACTCCCGCGCTCGATTCTCCATGTGCAATGATTTTGTCGTATTATGCGTACATATTTTACTTAAAATATTAAGTATACCACTTGGTCATATGAAAATGTAAGGCATTACACTGCTCTGCTAATCTGCATGGAAATCTCTTGAGTCGATTAACCAAATGCTTCTTATGGTTGCCTTTCTGTTGTTGCAATCCTGATCTGAATCCTTTCCTTGCCACGTCTTCCGCTCCTTCCGCTGCTATATCTTCTGCTGCTGCTGACTGTTGTTCTGCTTCGCATTAGTCTGGGCACACTTTGCGCTCAGCTGAAGGCTTCGCTTTGACTGGTGATGAGGCAAACAGTCGACGTGCTAATTCGTTGCGCACCCAGTTGAGCCTGTGGCTGCCGGATCCGGCAGGGTCCCCAGTCGACAAAAATGTAACCAGGACGCAGCGCGCACACACACACACACACACACTGGCACACACACATATGCACACAAACCGTTGCTTGCAAATCAAGCAAAGGCTCGTTGTCAAGCGAAGAACCCCTCCCCCACTTCCTCACTCCACTGAACACCACCTTTCGCTCCAAATTATGCAAGTCGTGTCGGTGGCTCCGGCCGCGCTGCAACGCGTTAATGTTGTTGGCGTTGCGGCCGCGACTGCGGCGGCTGCTGTGGCTTTCAGTGCAGCGCTCGTGCCTCATTGGCGTTGCACAAAGCGGGCGGCGGTGGCTAAATTTGCATAAATTAACAATGTTTCGCAATTGCAGCCACTGATGCAGCGAATTCTTGTGACCAGCCACCCAACGACCCACTCATTCGCGCCGCCGTCACCCACATGCCCGTACATAAAGTATATGTGCGTATGTGTGTGCGTGTGTGCGTGTGTGGGTGCTGTCCACCATGTGCAAAGTGCGCGTTTTATTGATTTGATGCTCCAATGCACTTATTATCCCTCAAGCAGCCAGTGCCAGTTAATCCCGTGGCGATGCGGCGCCATTTTACACACAACAACACACACACACACACACGCTGGTTTGTATATATACGTATTAGGGTGTGCCCAAAAAGTTGGTCAAGTGTGTGCAGGAGAAGGCTCATTAGTCAAACCAAGTGGAATTGGTAATGCGTATATTTCGCATGGCGGCCTGGGCAAACAAGTGGGATGAAGCGCAGCCCCTTTTATGATTCAATCTTTTATAAAACTAATATGAATATATAACACATATTAGTTTTTTAATAGATTTGCATATATAGAAAAAAAAAATACGCATTTATGGTGTATTTTCAAACTAACAATTTTCAAAAAATTAACTAACTTTTGTTTCAACATATTAAAGTGCATATTGATGTATTTCGAAATTTGATACATGCAAAAATTAGTTTTTTCGTCTGCAAATCATTTCAACTGCATTTATTAATACACTTGCTTGAATATTAATAAAATATTTAAAAGTGTGCATGGCATTATTTAAAGCACCTTAACTGTGCTTTACTTTAGGTATAGCCCTAATAATAATTCCAAAATCTAACCTCTATCGGTCCATGGAATATAAGGAAAAAAATTAAATCTGTTAGCAGAAATTTGAATTGCTTTTTAAAGTTAAATCGATGTGTGTTTATATATGTGTGTGTGTATGTATGGGTGTGTAGTTGTGTGCGATTAAAAATGGCTGCATTATATTGTCAGTTAATTAAACAACTAACGGCTGCGCACGCTAGGTGGCGTTTAGTGCATGATTGGCAAATGCCAGCAAGTTTAAAAGCTGATCGCGATTGACAATCGCTGTCATTCACAATGGACACACAGAAAGTGTCGCATTTGCTTGTGGCCAGCTATCGATCGCTGAAATATATGCTGTTATCACTTATTTGAAAGCAGCTTAATTGCAATTACTTTGATTTTGTGTGCTTAATGTGAACACATTTGAGTGCACTCATTTGCAGCATGAATGGTTTGAATTTAGCAATGAGTGCATGCCTTGGCACGCTCTGGGCAAGTGTCCCACAATTC